CGCATGAGAGAAAGGAAATGCACAAGGCATTACTATGATTGCAACGCGTGCGGCTACACTATGTTGCAATCGAAGTGCCTACATCGGTCAGAAAGGCGCTGTGCTGAAACAAACGGCTCGGTCCAAGGCTATGCTGTGTTGCATGCCTTTCATACCTCCTCCGTAACGCACCACACTACTCCTTTCATCCAGGTTTGGAAAGCAAGCTAAACCGGCGTAGCCGCGACCTCTCTCAATACCTGCACCAGCCTAGCCGCACCACATTCGGTAACCAGTCGTGCACCTACCACATTCACTGCGCTCACCTAGAAGTGCATTGAATTGGCATTTGGAGCAGGCACCAAACAAAACCAAACGACTGAGCTTCATACCTGTGATTGCTGCAAAACCAGACAACGAATTGCCCCGCTACATACACGAGGTGTTGGGTCCCCCTACTTCAACTGCTCTGAGTACAACATCACTTTGCTCCCAATGAACTGACAATCAAAGCATTGTAATGAACAAAAGGATGTCAGAATAGGTAGCAAGAGGATTTTGCATCAACTGAGGGAACCGCGTGGAAGGTATTGGAGCTGGTTGAAGGCAGGGGATGGATAGGAGTAGGGGTTTATGGTCCATCACCCTATTTGGACGCATTTAGACATAGGCGTAAGCGCTAACTCTGAATGCAAATGCCTAGCCATCCATCCCTAGCAGACTCTCCAACTCCTACAATGTCACCATCTTTGCACAGACATCCTGTAACTCCTTTGATTGCGCATCTTTCGGATTTAGCAGTGGATGAACTCGTGTGTGCTGCCACCCAACGGTTTGATTACCAAACTTACAAGCTCAGTGCGCATTGGCGAAGTCATTCAGCCCTCAAAGTGTAGCGGTTAGTAATAGATAAGTGAAGTCATTACGGGTTTGACTTGAAACATTGCCTCACGTGAGCGCTGATGGTCAAAGCACCACCTGTAATTTGGACATGCGTGTGTGTGCGTTCGTGTTTGCGGAGGTGAGAGCGAAGACGGATGGTTAATTTTGCCATGGCAGGGCAAGACAGGAAGCGAGAAAGAGAGCGGACGCTGTTGCGTAGGCACTTATTACACTCATTAAAGCTGAGAGAGAGTGCAAGGCACGGATGGAGGTAAGGCGAACAGCACCAAAGAAACGGCTGACTCACCCCGCCAAAAGTCGATTCCACGATCCTCGAATTCGACGCGTAATCTGCTCCGCAGCCTGGAGTTGCGTGAACGTCGAAGTGTTGACTAGACTCATAATCATAGTCAGTATCGCTCGAATGCGAATTCTGTTCTTCACTATTCTCTGCACACTTGCGGTTTGCTTCCATATTCATTGCCTCATTCTCAGATTCACTACTGCTGTCTAGGAGAAAAGGGGAAAATAAACGTGACGGCGTTTCACACAAACAATTCAGGTGAGATAGTGTGTTTATGTTCGGTAAGTTGGTCGAAGGTAAGGGAGGAATTTCCTTCCTCCTAGCGGAAGGACTGTCGTCTGATGGGTAGGCGATCAAGAGGCCATGACCACTTTTGAATAATCTCCTAATTCCCTTTACCCTCTATTCTACCTC